AGATTGCACTTCCGGGCGCGCCGGGCGCCCGTTGCCGCCATGAGCCGTGGAATTGCTTTGAGATTACCCGTCTGGGCGCGGGAGCGGGAAACCTGCCCCGGGCGCCCGTGTGCGTCTGCGCCTTGTGGGCGCCTGTGCGCCTGCGCCCTACTGAGCGTTTCTACGCGCCTTCGCGCACGTTTCGCGCTGCTGCGCGCTTCCGTCTGCCCCGCTCCGCGGGCCCGCGCGCTTCGGCGCGCAGCTTGCTTCTGCGCCGCGCGACAACGCACGGCGCGCGCCGCGGCGTGCCTCTACGCGCCTGTGCGCTCTCTGCGCTTAACTACGGAATACGCGCCTCCGCCGCACCAGTGCGCACTTCTGCGTGCCAATACACCTGGGCGGCCATGCGCACTCCTGCGTGCCCAGCGCACCCCTCTCGATGCTGCGCGGTTCTGCGCCCTTCTGACCGCTTCTTTGTCCCTTTGCTTCTGCGCGCGTCTCTGCGCCTGCGCGCCAGTGCGGCTGCACGCGCCTGAACGACCGTGCGCGTTTCAGTGCGGCGCTGCGCGCCTCCAAGCATTTCGCGCGTCTGCGCTCGGCGCGTCCGGCACTGCGCGCTTCCAAGCACTTGCCTGCGCCACGTACTTGCGCGCGCGCGCCTTCGCGCGCCGAAACGCCGCGCCTGTGCGCGTCTACGCGCTCTTGTGCGGAGGTTCGCCTGCGCCAGCGCTACATAGCGCGAAATTGCGACCATATTTCAATTCTGAGCGCGGCAGAGTCGCTGGAGGAAATCGCTTAGATTGCCCTGCAGGAGCGAAACCCACACAACCCCACGCATCTTCGCCCATGTGCTGTCGCGCGTTTGGGCGCGCAAGCGTGCAGTTGCACTCAGATTGCCGCTCTGAGCGCGGGAGCGCGACATAGCACTCAAAGGGCCCGTTCGGGCACGCGAACGTGGAATCACGCTCGGGCTGCCCGTCTGGGCGCGCGAGCGCGCATTTGCGCCCAGATCGCCCTTCCGGGCGCAAGACGCGAAATCGCTTCCGAAAGCTGCGCTCGGGTTGCAATTGCGCTCAGATTGCCCATCTAACCGCGCGAACGCGAAATCGCGCCCAAAATGGGCCAATTGGCCGCGTGAGCGCGGGAAGGCGTCCGGAATTGCCCATTTGAGCGCGCGGCGCGGATTCGCACTCTGATTGCCCGTCTGGGCGCGCGAGCACAACATTGCACCCAGATTGCCCGCCTGGGCGCGGGATCGCGAAATCTCACCTGGAATGGCCCGTTTGGGCGCGCGAGCGCGGATTCGTGCTCAGGATGCCCGCCTGGGGCACGAGCGCTAATTTGTGCCCAGATTGCCCGTCTGGGCGCGAGGACGCGAAATCGCATCCCGAACGGCCGCGCGGGACGCACGAGCACAGATTCGCACTCTGATTGCGTGGGCGCGCGAGCGCAGAACTACGCTCAGATTGCCCGTCTGGGCGCGGGACGCGAAATCGCATCCGAAATGGCCCGCTTGGGCGCGCGAGCGCGGATTCGCACTCTGATTGCCCGTCTGGGCGCGCGGGCGCAATATTGCGCACAGATTGCCCGCATGGGCGCGGGCGCGCGAAATCGCACCTGAAATGGCCCGCTTGGGCGCGCGAGCGCGGATTCGCGCTCAGGATGCCCGCCTGGGCGCACGAGCGCAAAATTTCGCTCAGATCGCCCGTCCGGGCGCGGGAGCGCGAAACCGCACCCGGAATGGCCTGCTTGGGCGCGCAAGCGCGGATTCGCGCTCAGGATGCCTGCCTGGGCGCGCGGGCGCGAAATTCCGCTCAGATTGCTCCCCTGGGCGCGGGAGCGCGAAATCGCACCTGCAATGGCCCGCTTGGGCGCGCGAGCGCGGATTCGCGCTCAGGTTGCCCGCCTGGGCGCACAAGCGCTAAATTGCGCTCAAATTGCCGTCTGGGCGCCGGATCGCGAAATCGCACCTGCAATGGCCCGCTTGGGCGCGCGAGCGCGGATTCGCGCTCAGGTTGCCCGCCTGGGCGCACAAGCGCTAAATTGCGCTCAAATTGCCCGTCTGGGCGCGGAGCGCGAAATCGCACCTGAAGCGGAGCTTCTGAGGAGGCTGTGCATTCGGGAAGCAAGGTTTTCGCGGGCACCCTTCGTTCTCCATCTGCTTCGCTCCAGGCTGGTTGGTTTGGTTGGCATTGGATGATCAGGAGCGTCTTTGCATCGATTCTCTCCTGGGTGATCATTGCCTGTCCAAGAGTTACCTCCTGTTACTTTTCCATTGCTTTTGAATCGGACGAGAATGATGAGTTGGGGTGGGTTGGGAGGAGGTGAGTTTTTTTTTTGATTTTGATTGCGCAAAGAGAAAATATTATTGTAATCGCGTATGCGCCAGTGTTGGCGCTACTTTACAAAGTTGGCGCTACTAAAGTAGCGCCGTGGTGTCGGCACTAAAAACTAGCGTCTTGACACCTCTGGGCTGAGCGTCACAGGGTTGCTTGGTCCCGCGACTGAGAGCACGGTGCGCCGGCAGCGGCCGCGCACCGCGACCCAAGATGCACAGCACCATGCCGCTCTGCGCGAGCGGACGGCGCCTGAGCGCCCCAGGATTGCTGAGTAATGAGCGACGAGGTCTGGCCCGAGCGCCCCAAGACAGAGAACGCGGGGACTGCGTCGACAGAGGACGTGGATCTCGGCTGCGTGGGGACGATCCGAACCCCAACCAGAGGGACCGCGAGACGCGCGGCAGCATCCCCTGGGCCTGCGCGCAAGGAATCCATCGATTCAAAAGCAATGGAAAAGTAACAGGAGGTAACTCTTGGACAGGCAATGATCACCCAGGAGAGAATCGATGCAAAGACGCTCCTGATCATCCAATGCCAACCAAACCAACCAGCCTGGAGCGAAGCAGATGGAGAACGAAGGGTGCCCGCGAAAACCTTGCTTCCCGAATGCACAGCCTCCTCAGAAGCTCCGCTTTCCGCTTCGCACCTTCTCTATCCAGACTTGGCAGACGCGAAGCGCGCAGGAGAAAAACTTCAATGCCACGAAGTGTGGCTCTTTTGGGGGTGCTGCATCTGCCACAGGCCACGGCAGCGTCTCCGCAAGGGAGAGCCACCTACCCCACAGAGGCAAAAGAAAGTTTGTGGATGCAGTATTTGAGTCAGCGGCTGAAGAGCCGCTGCCGCGGGCACCATTCGAGGCAAACTGCGTCCTCTGCACTGTTCCTCCGTGCAAAGGAAGTGGTTCGAACGCTGCTTGCACGGCACGGCGTGGTCTGCTCTCCTGCGCGAACAGGTAACATTCGAATGAGCGTTTCATTTGCTTGATCCAGTCCGGTGTTGTGAACGGATCCCTCTATAAGCTTCGCATGGACAGAAACTAGTGCGAAACAAGGCGGGGGCACGCTGCGCTGGTGCGATTGACGCGAAGCACCTGAGCGGCAGGTTTGCACGAAATGGCGTGAAGGCCCCAAGACCAACGGGCGACGAAAGCCAAATCGCAGGCAATTGCTAAGCATGCGCGGCGCAGGCGCGCGAATCGCGAAATCGAGAATGCGAGTCTGGACACCTTGGCGCCGGAAATCCGCGCTGAATCGAGGCTCGGAAAGCATTCCTGGGCGCGCCAGCGCCAGAAGCAGCGCAGGGGCCTGACCACTGAATGGCAACCTGGCAACCAGCGAATGCTCTGCTGCTGCGCGCTCATCAAAGACGCTGCGCCAGCACTGAAAGCACAGAGTGCAGTCTTAGCGAGCACGCGGAAGCGTAAATTGCGCTCGCGAATCTTCGGGGCACGCTGGCGCCAGAACCCAAATGCATTGCTGACCGCGAGAAAAGCAGCCCAAACCAACCCAAGCCCGCGCGCGAGAAAAATAAGGAGCAAGGGAAAGCGAGAATGAAATAGCAAGACACGAGAAACACAGAAAGCACATCAGAATATCAGCTCGGAGCCGCTCTGCGCGAGCGGACGGCACCTGAGCGTCACAGGGTTGCTTGGTTGCGGAAAACTGAGCGCACGGTGCGCCAGCGCAGCGGCCGACCGCACACCGCGACCCAAGATGCACAGCTCCGTGCCGCTCTGCGCGAGCGGACGGCACCTGAGCGTCACAGGGTTGCTTGGTCGCGCAACTGAGCGCACGGTGCGACGGCGCGACGGCCGACCGCACACCGCGACCCAAGATGCACAGCTCCGTGCCGCTCTGCGCGAGCGGACAGCACCTGAGCGTCACAGGGTTGCTTGGTCCCGCAACTGAGCGCACGGTGCGCCCGCGCAGCGGCCGACCGCACACCGCGACCCAAGATGCACAGCTCCGTGCCGCTCTGCGCGAGCGGACGGCACCTGAGCGTCATCACAGGGTTGCTTGGTCGCGCAACTGAGCGCACGGTGCGCGGGCGCAGCGGCCGACCGCACACCGCGACCCAAGATGCAAAGCTCCATGCCGCTCTGCGCGAGCGGACGGCACCTGAGCGTCACAGGGTTGCTTGGTCCCGCGACTGAGCGCACGGTGCGCCGGCAGCGGCCGCGCACCGCGACCCAAGATGCACAGCACCATGCCGCTCTGCGCGAGCGGACGGCACCTGAGCGCCCCAGGATTGCTGAGTAATGAGCGACGAGGTCTGGCCCGAGCGCCCCAAGACAGAGAACGCGGGGACTGCGTCGACAGAGGACGTGGATCTCGGCTGCGTGGGGACGATCCGAACCCCAACCAGAGGGACCGCGAGACGCGCGGCAGCATCCCCTGGGCCTGCGCGCAAGGAATCCATGCATCCTAGATCATGCGTGTGTAGACTAGCTCATACATATATACATATATACACATATATGTGTGTATATACACATATGTTGCACAGAGTTTGCACATATACCGCAGAATGCCACATGAACCATAATAGTTTGCAGAGGAAGGATTGCGGAAGCAGTGAATATCACAGGATGATGATCGAGGCATGATGGCCCAAGTGGAGTGGACTGGGAGAGTTCCCTCGCCCACGACTTTCAGGAAGACACCTCTCGGCAAGTTTCTCAATATGGCTGCCGCGCCCGCGAGCCACGAGTATTCCGACGAGCGGGGCCCAGGGTTCGCTGGTTACACCTACGACCACATTGCCGACGCTCAGCCTCGCTGGCCCGCAAGGCAGCCCAGCATCGAGGAGCTGAGCGACAAGAGCGAGGAGCAGTCGCCACTAGCGGACTTCGACCGCGAGCACTCGCCCGAACCGCCCGTCCCCGCTGAGCAGCAGTCGCCGATGGATGCGTCCGAGGGCGGTGTTTCCGAGGATGAGGGTGCGACGGCTGCGAACGTTCAGCCGCCGCCGTCGGCCGCCCCCGTCGAGCAGCCTATCTTTTCCACGCCGCCCAAGAACGTGGACATCAACGCGGTGAAGCGCATGGCACTTGATGTGGGATCCATGGCCAGTGGTGGCGACGAGGATGTGGTGATGAAAGGCTTGGTCAACTTCTACAAGAGCCCAGCCATGCAGGCTCTAATCGGCACCAAGAAGCGTGCACCTCCTACCGTGGAGCTCACGCAGGAGGATCAGGACGAGAAAGAGATGTGGGAAAGGCTCCAGGCGACCAGGGAAATCGCTCGAGTCGGGAGGCGATGGAAGGACGGGGGGCTGAGGTTGGGAGGAGAGTGACGTTGGACGTGGGATGGGGGAGAGGGTTAGCGACGCATGGCCCATCCGCACGACATTACATGGTTGGCGAATCGTGCACGTGTGCACATACATCCCTTTCGATCGCAAGATCCCACCCGTATGTTTTTTTTCGATCGCCCATACCATCCGATTACACCAGTAACTTTAGGCGCATACCTTCAGACCTTGATACGGCATGCCAGGTCAATGGGAGGTCAATGGAAGGTCAATGGAAGGTCAATGCAGGGTCGATGCATGCTGATTGGCGTGCCATCGGCATTCCATTGACATTCAATTGACCTTCCATTGACCTTCCATTGACTTTCAATCCTGTCTCCCATAGCTGATTGTCAGCATCTTCGCATCCTCGTTGCCGCGCCTTCCCCTGAGGCGAAGAATTTCGAATTCATCACGAAGGGGCGGGCGGGGAATCCCATAGCGGGGCGGTGGCAGCGCGAGATCAACAATCCCAAGTCCGACCTGAAGGAGCGCTACGCTGCAGTTGGCACTGGCCGCACGGCGCAGATGAACTTTCGCAAGCAGTGGGCGTCGGACAAATACAACGAGTACAAACGCACCGCGACCGTTACCGAGACCCACAGCCAGGAGTGGATGAATACCGCGAAGTTTTTGACGGTTGGCCGCATAGCGTGGAAGTTCGGGGGCGGCAAGGTTGGGATGCGAGCTGCCGTCACCCATTGCACAAAGGCCCTGCAGATGGGAGAGGAGTTCTACGAGTTCCACGAGCAGGGCGAAATCATGCTCTTCCTTTTCGGGGAGAAGGGCTTCAACGAGGGCTTCAAGAAGGCGTGGACCAAGCATGAGGAGTGGACGTCCACGATCGCGAATGCCTCGGGCACGCAGGCGGCTAGGGCAAGCCAGAGCGGGTCGCCCCATCTCACTTCTGGAGAAGACGGAGGTGATAGCGATGAGGAGCAGGAGGGAGGAGGAGGCGGAGGAGGAAGGGGGAGGAAGGCGACGGCGAGGAAGCGGGAGGGGGCGAGGCGGACAGTGGAGGCGAGGGGCCCCCTCCGACCCAGGCGGGGGACGTCAGCACGGCGCAGGCTGGCGTGGGCTCCGACGTGGCGCAGGCGGGGAGCTGATCGACCCCATTCTCTCATCATCCTCCGCTCATCCTCCCGCCCGTCATCGCCCTACGCTCACCCTCCGCATCCTCATCCTCATCCTGTGTCCATCCGCCTTCTCGCCCTCCCGCCCTCCACAATCGCCCTCGTCGTGTCGTTCCATTCGTCCTTTACCTCCCCCACCCTCCTCATTTCCATCCTCCTCAGCCCGCCCCGTGCGCAGCAGGCGGCATCGGCGGGCGGCAGCGAGGGCGAGGGCAAGCAGAACCAGGCAGGCGCAGAGCAAGGGCCAGCAGGCGACCGCCGCCCTTGGGCTTTCCTCTTTGTCCTCCTCCTCCCCCTCCTCCTCCTCATCCTCATCCTCCTCCTCCTCATCGCCGTCCTCATGCGCCTCATCAACCTCCACCTCCTCGCCCTCCCCCTTCCCCTGCCTCCCCCTCCCCCTCACCCTCCTCCTCCTCCTCCTCCTCCTCCTCCTCCTCCTCCTCATCCCCCTCCTCCTCATCCTCGTCCCCATCCTCATTCTGGCACCTCGCCTTCCAACTCGATATTCGTAATCATCCTCTTCCCCCCGTTCATATCTCTCTCTCATCTCGCTCTCTTTCTCTCTCTCTCTCTCTCTCTCTCTCTCTCTCTCTCTCCCTCTCTCTCTCTCTCTCCCCCACCGTGCCCTCGCATCCAGTAAGTGGTCAACGGATTCTGCGCCTCGCCTTCGGATCCACCGCATCCTCCGCCCTGCAGTCTCGCCCTCCGCTTTTCAACCGTACGCCATCACCCTCCTCCGCCAGGCGGCGACGGCGGGAACAGGGAGTTCGGGTTCCAGGGCCAAGCAGGCGGCGACGGAGGCAGCCCGTGCTTCCGCCCCGAAATCGTCGTCGCCGCCGCCGCCGTCGTGGTGGTGGTGTTGGTGTCGGTCGTCGTCGTCGTCTTCGTCGTCGTCGTCGCCGCCGCCGCCGCCGCCGCCGCCGTCGTCGTCGCCGTCGTCGTCGTCGTCGTCGTCGTCTTCGTCGTCGTCGTCGTCGTCGTTGTCGTCGTCGTCGTCGTCGTCGTCTTCGTCGTCTTCACCGTCGTCGTATTCGGCGTCGCCGTCACCGAAGTCGCCGACGCCGACGTCGTCGTCCTCGGCGTCGTCTCGTCGACGTCGCCGTCGCCGTCGCCGTCGCCGTCGCCGTCGTCGTCGTCGTCGTCGTCGTCTTCGCCGTCGCCAGCACCTTCGCAGTCGCCGTCGCCGTCTCTCCCTCCTTCCCTCCATCCCCGTCTCTGTCTCTATCTCTCTCTCCTTCCCTCCATCCCCGTCTCCATCCCCGTCTCTATCTCCATCCCCGTCTCCATCCCCGTCTCTCTCTTTCCCTCCATCCCCGTCTCCATCCCCGTCTCCATCCCCGTCTCCATCCCCGTCTCTCCCTCCTTCCCTCCATCCCCGTCTCCATCCCCGTCTCTGTCTCTATCTCTCTCTCTCTCTCTCTCTCTCTCTCTCTCTCAGCTCTTGGGAAGTGCTCAGCCGCGATTCGACGTCAGTTGCGCCACATAGATTGCACCACATAGCATGCTATGACACACTGTTTGGGGCCCACGCTGGCTAACACTTTAACGGAAGAGAGATTGACGATGATGAGAAGGATCAGGAGGAGAGGAGGAGGAGGCCTCCTCCTCCTCTTCCTCCTCCCCCATGCTTCTCCTCCTCCTCCTCCTCCTCCTCCTCCTCTTCCTCCTACTCCCCGTCACAACGGGGGAATCATGTTCTCTTTGTCGTCGGCATCACCCTCCGCATCCGTGGCATTTCGGCTCTTTTCGAGGTGGCTGATATGAAGCGCCCAGCTGCAGCAGGTCAGGGCTCCGATGATGACTCGGATCCCGCGCCCGCCAAGCAGCAGAGGGCGCGCGGTTCAACTTCGGGCCTCAGCGACGAGGATGCGCAGAAAATCAAGCAGGCGCTGGAGGAGCACATAATCGTTCCAACGGACGCATGGTACGCCACGCAGAAGCTGGACGGCCCGCAGGACTCCGACGTGCTCGTCAAGAACAAGACGCTGCTGGTGAAGCTCAGGAAGATCCAGCCCCAAGGCATTGCCCAAAGCGCTCTCCACGGCATCCTGTACGACCGCGCCAAGGCTATGGAGGGCGATTGGCACTTAGCCGACGAGGCCTCCACATGGGCAACGGAGAAGGCGAAGCACATTCGTTCCATGATGAGGCACGTCTACAACGCGTGCAGGAAGGAGACCCCGCCTAAGTGGGCGGCCGAGAACTTCCCGACCATAGGCGACGACGACGGCGGTGACGGCAACGACGGTGGCGGTGGCCGGCAACCGCCCACGACGCCGCCGAGGAGGCCGAGTGGCGCGGTCGAGTCGCCGTCGCCTGCCGCCCGGGCGGCCGCCGTGGCAGCGGAGGGCGACACGGGCCACGGGCCCGACAAGTGGAAGTTCGAGTACGACAAGGAGCTACAGGCCGCCGTCCAAGATAATCAATACTTGCAACGGCACATGTAACGGCAGGGAGGTCAATGGTAGGTCAATGGTAGGTCAATGGCAGGTCAATGGTAGGTCAATGGTAGGTCAATGGTAGGTCAATGGCAGGTCAATGGTAGGTCAATGGTAGGTCAATGGTAGTCAACGGTAGGTCAATGGCACAACCCGCCCCCATAATGGGGGCGGGGGGGATGAGGATGAGGATGAGGATGAGGATGCGGATGAGGATGAGGATGAGGAGGAGGAGGGGAGGCGACGGGGACAAGGAGGAACCATTATATCACCATTGACTTCCCTTGCAGGCTGCGTGGCGGATCCCGAAGCGCGCCGTCAAGGGCAAGGGCACGCCCGAGTACGCTTCGCTCGAGACAAAGCACGGGGTGCTCACTGCGACCTTTGCTGACGGAGTGGTCTGGGAAATTGGCCCTGCGAGTGAGGCAGCGCCCGAACATGACGGAGAGAAGCCGTCCAAGCCCTTCAAGAAGGACCCGCTCTTGGTGGTGTGGTCGGGTCAGAAGTCTGAGAACGAGCTACTGGAGGCGAAGATTACGAAGAAGAAGCAGGACGAGTGGCTCACCCTGTGGAACCACGGCCTCAAGACATCGGCTGGCAACAGTACGGCAGTACTCCAACTCCGAGGGTACCCATCGATCGAATGGGGCAAGAAGTGCATGGCAGACCTGGGGCAGAAGTACATCGAAGGCTGGGACAAGGCGAAGCTGGAGGCGTACAAGAAGTCGCAGCTGAGCGAGGCTGGCGTGCTCACGCAGAGGGCCCGTAAGAGGCCCGCTGTCGCGGCGCCCGCCGACGCGCATCCAGCGGATGCGCCCGCGGAGAGCGGCGGCTGCCATCCACCAGTTGCGCCAGCGGAGAGCCCGAAGAAGATCCTCAAGACGCCCGCCCCGTCCAAAGTCCTTATCGAGGGTGGCTCTTCACCGCTGGCCAAGTCGCCCGAGAAGGTTCCTGAGTGCGAGTCGGCGCCCTCGAACCCCATTTCGAGGATCCCGAGTCCGCCGAGTGTGCCTGGTTTCAGGTTTTGAAGACCGCCCGAGCGAATGCACTCGCTGTGGGCAGTCCAGCAGGGACTATAGTCAATGAGTTGACTAATCATGGGATTGCGAGCATTGCAGTTTGCGCACATCTACCGCACATCGTCAGCATTACAATCTATCGCATAGCGCATCGCCAATGTTATGACATCATCTCCGTCGTTCGAGCCATCACAGTCGCATTAATCCGTCGGTGATGGGCGCATGAGCCCCGCCGTTCCTCCATCGACTGTCTGAGCACGTCGTCGTCGTCGTCGTCGTCGTCGTCGTCGTCGTCGTCGTCGTCGTCGTCGTCGTCAACGTCGTCAACGTCGTCAACGTCGTCAACGTCGTCGTCGTCGTCGTCGTCGTCGTCGTCGTCGTCGTCGTCGTCGTCGTCGTCAACGTCGTCGTCGTCGTCGTCGTCGTCGCCCCCGCCCGCCAGGCGCCACCCGCGGAGCCAGAGGCCAAACGGCGCAAGGATAAGGGGGGTGCCGCGGGCGCTACTGAAGATGGGGCAGGCGATGGTGTCAAGGGCAAGGGCAGAGGTGCGGGCAGGGGCAGGGGCAGCAGTGCTAATCGCGGCCGTGGTGGCGGCGGTGGTGGCGGTGCGGCTGCGGCCGCTGAGCAACCATGGGAAGCTAAGCTCAAGATGGCTCGTGCTACTACCGCTGAATACTCGGCCACTATGATGCAGGCGCGCACGATTTGTGCACAGATCGAAAAGCAGGCAGATTGGGCGTTTGCCAAACCCATTGAGATGTCTGGAGATCTGAAGTCTGCCATGGGCTCTGCTGAAGATCTCGTGAGTGAAAGCGCGCTTCTGACGTCTGTCGTGTCCCTGTCGTGGGCGGAGTTCAAGAAGGGCGCTTCGGAGCAAGATGTCATCCTTGCCGTGGAGGGCGTCTTGAGTCTGAAGCCGCACATTGAGACAATGAACATGGAGATCAAGACATTGCTTGGCACGCATGCGATCAGGGCGAAGAAGGGCGCCCAGGGCACGCAGTAGCAGTAGTTTGTGCCTCCAGTGGTTGGGACGTGATGCCATGCCAGGTGTCAATCACATTCACTTGCTTTCCTGCGTCGGGGGTGCCTGTCCAGGAGCCGATCTGCGACTTGAACAATGTATGTAAACGCTTGTGCGGTGCATACGCGGGGGTCGGGAGCTAATTTGGCTAACTTTTTTAAAACCGCTGACAAAAATCACGGTTCCCAACAGTCGTACCTCAAAAACCTACCGTTGACCTACCGTTGACCTACCGTTGACCTTGCACCGTTGACCTACCGTTGACCTACCGTTGACCTAGGGCAGGAAACCCTGTTATTTTACAGGGATCGTGCGTTGACCTTGGACCGTTGACCTACCGTTGACCTACCGTTGACCTACCGTTGACCTTCCGTTGACCTTCCGTTAACCTCAATCGGCCTGGCCCTGGGCGGGAAACACACGGTGGTGGCATGAAAATGTGGGTTCGCAGATCGGCTCGACGGCTGGACGGCACGGTGGGAGGGCCATGCTGTGAATGCGAGTTTACTTTTCGGCTGGATGTGCGCATCTGCCATTGCTGGCGCTTCCGAGGGCTGTTGCAGAGGCCAAATCAAGAGGTCGGCAGTGACGACAAGGGCAAACAACATTGATGGCAAGGGTATGGGTAAACGGCAAGGGTAGACGGCAATGGTGACACGGGTACGGCAAATGTAGACGGCAGGGGTAGACGGCAGGGGTAGACGGCAAGGGTAGACAGTTACGACAGGGGTAGACGGGACGGGACGGGACGGCAGGGGTAGACGGCTTAGGCAGCGGTAGTGGCAGCACGTGCGCATTCGAGCGACGTCGGAGGCGATAGGCATACAACAATCCTTGCACTAGAACGTACACGACTGCTAACATGTTGAACTATGAACATGGTGACGCATCAAATCCTGCGGGCGCGTATCACAGGTCAATGGGGCGCGATGACAACGCTTGCAGGTGCGAAGGTAGCCATCGGCAACGACGTCGGGGCATCCGATCATGACATGTTAGGGGGGAGGGTGTAGATAAGCACGTGCTGATCCACCAGCTGTGGCTGCACTTGCGATAATGTTGTAATGCCACAATGGCCCTCATGCAACGCGAAGCTCGCTGTGCGATACTGTCCCGTGCCTTCAGTTTGCATCCAGCGTGTGCTGGCGCCGTGGTAGCTGAGCTCTCCTTTCGCAGGTGTCGCTTCACGTGGGGAAAATGTGATGGCGTGCATGGGGTGCAGGGGAATAATTGAGTTGCGCATCGCAGGTTCCGCAGGCGTGTTGGCGCGAGGTGTGGGCTGCATTGAGTTCCCATGGCCTCCAGCAAGCGCCCCCGTGCCCCAGAACCTCCGAGCCGATGGGCCCCTCGCGATGTGGACCCGCTTCAGGCCCAGCGCGATGCAGGTTCGGAGTTATTGAAGATGTTACTGAGTCTTTACGCAACGACTAAGATAAACGCATACGACCTTTCTGTGCTCTGTGGGTACTGCGCAAAGGCAGGGGTGCCTGGGGGGGCATTCTCCCGTTATGCTCGAGATCCAGGAAAACAGTCGGGTGCGTATCAACATTTTCTTGACACCAAGCTGCCAGGACCTGGTCCCCTCTACTATGTGCCGACACCTTGTAACGTGAAACGGTCGCCGAAACGGGAGATCAAACATATACCGTTCAGGCCAATTTTCGAGACAATCGCTGATGAACTCCAAACAGATGACACGAGTTTGCACTTGGTTGGCCAAGACCCCGATGACAGAGAGCAGACGGTGTTGGACCTACCGTGTTACCTTAATCACCCTCATGTTGTTCAAGCAGTAGATGAGGGCAGACTAAAGCCTGTTCCACTTGGGGTTTACATGGATGGGGTTAGATACACGTCCACGGTAGGGGGAAGAGCGGACAGCGTGTTGGGCTTCTGGGTCATCAACCTTTTGACGGGGAAGCGCCATGTGGCAGGGGTATTGCTAGGAAGCGACAAGTGTTTGTGCGGGTGCAAGGGGTGGTGCACCTTCCACCCCCCCATGCATGCAATATCGTGGATGCTGAAAAGCCTCGTAGACGGCCATACCCCTGCCCATCGTCATGACGGCTCGGATTGGGCGCTCGACGACCCGCTGGGGAAGCGGAAAGAGTTCCCCAGGTGTTGCGTGCTATGGAGTAGTTCAGGCTTTGCCGCCATGCATCCAGGATAACACATCAACATGTATTTTGGGGTGTCGTGTGTGTGTGTGTGCGTGTGTGTGTGTGCGTGTGTGTGTGTGTGCGTGTGTGTGTGTGTGTGTGTGTGTGTGTGTGTGTGTGTGTGTGTGTGTGTGTGTGTTCGGTTTCGTGCAGGGCGATTGTGTCGGGTACACTTCCAGTGTTCCAACTGTCAGAGTTGCGCGCCAGGGGGCGCGTGTTGCGCCAGCGGATCAAAGGAGATTGGAACGAGCACGCAAAAACATTAGGTTTGGCATCGTGGCAGACTGCGTACTCGCCGTGTCAATTCTGTACGATGACAGCTCTTGAGATTGCCAGCCAGGGGGAAGACGTAACCCCTCAAAATTTACACTGGGATCTACGGACGCCAGAAAGTTACGACCACGCATGTTCAGAGTGCGAGATAATCGTTCAGATTGCAACCGAAGGTCAGAGGGCAAAACTGTTAGGGGCGCTTTTGTGGAAGAAAGCAAAAAAGGTGGGGAGTGGTAGGGTAGTGGCATTTCGGGTCATGGTTGCAGGTGTTCTGTTGCAGCCAGGCGACAGAGTTGAACCCTCGGGCTGCGTGATGGATATCGGAGGTATTGACACGATGCCACTCCCACTGGGAGTTACGTTTTGGAGGTCAAGGAGGGGCCCTGAGGGGTCAGTGATTGATCCTGTGATGCACAGGTGCCCCCTGTTTTGCGAAGCACTCTGTAGTAGCCCTGCAAGAACGCTGTCTGTAGATTCTTTACACACTCTTTACTACGGACCGTGCATGCGTTGGACGTCTGCAGCCCTGTGGCGACTCCTTCTGACAAATCCTTGGAACTGTAGGAGCACAAGTTTACCTGAAATGCTGGATATTTGCATTAGGCGCCTTGTGGGTGATCTGCGATCATGGCTCCCTGGCAATGCACCGACAGATCGGTGGATAACAGACCTCACCTTGAGTATGTTGGGGGACCGCAAAGATTTTACACCTGAGAACTTCCGTCATTCTGGAGATATCTTGAAATGCAAGGCTGGGGAGGTTGGAACCCTTTTGGAGTTTTCACTGCACATGCTCAAGAAGCATGGTGGAACAGCGAGGTATGGTCGCTCATTCATAGTTGCTGGTGAATCAATGTCGCAGTTTCTCCAGATCGTCAGGGATTGCCCAGGCCCGGTAATGTCAGAACCGCAGAGGGCAGCCTTGATGAATTGCGCGTGCCTCCACGTCAGAGCATGCAAGCAATCTGGTGTGCACTGCGTCCCGAAGCATCACCTTACCTTGCATTTGGCAGATAGGACCCGCACCCTAAATCTACACAGCACCAATCCCTGAGGAGCGATGCAGGTCAATGGGAGGTCAATGGGAGGTCAATGGGAGGTCAATGGGAGGTCAATGGGAGGTCAATGGGAGGTCAATGGGAGGTCAATGGGAGGTCAATGGGAAGTCAACGCGGCGCGAAGGTATCATGCGTGGGTAGCGCGGAGATGACGCGTCGGAGGGGGGGAGTGGTTTCGAATGGTTTCGACGCCCTCATCCTGCAACCCTTGTGTTTACGCCGTGCTGCGCGCAATTACCGTGCGCCATGCCAATTCACACTGTGCGCGCACGTACAGCAAGGTCACGCACGCCACGTCGTTGGAACTATGTGTGGGCAAGGGCATTGCAGTATAATTTTGAGTTCATGCACCGTGGGTCTCAAGGACGCGCGAGCATGGTAACCCCAAGTACTACACGACATTCACTGACGAGGGGCTCAACATAATCCTCAGGTACATGTGTCAGTTTGCACATCGGTCGACCCTGGAGCGGAGAATATTTGCGCTGTTCAACA